AGGGCTCAGTACAAATTCTCCCACTTTACAGTCAATCATTCAGTACTACAAGTTGGTGCATCACATGAACACATAATAAAATTTAGAGAGGTCTGTGGTTCTATTGAGACAAAATGTTAAACAGATTCGAGAACATAAAAAGCTTTTAAAAAAAACATAGTAGATGCAGGAAAAGTGCTCCGTTTCTCAGAGAGGGGATTCTTTACCATACTTTTTCTTCCCTCTCATTTATTCTTTCTCTTTTCGCTTTCCCTTCCCAGGGCTGAGTTATGTACTGATTATGTTGTACTTGCCCTCTGTCCTTGTTAATACTCGATTTACACAGCTCATATTTGACATCTACATCCTTTTTTGTCTCACCTGTCCCTATTAAGATTTAACATCCCTTGTTTTTTTTCTCTACCTATTGTGCTATATACCCTCTCACACTTCTACTCCCCCCCCCCTCTTCCTTTTAACTTGCAGCTCTTGTTGTCGCAGCACAAACACTGCCTTGCCTCACTTTCTGCCTGCGTCTCTTATGGTACCCTTGGAGTTTCTATTCCTATATCTGCCTCTCCACCCCTCCTTGCTCCTCCCTCCATCTGATTGCTTGTTAGTTGGTATGCAGCCTCGAACCCCCATTGCGCGTTCCTTGCCTGTCATCACTCTCTTTCTCCCTCTCCCTCTCGCTCCTCATCCCTTTTCCCAGCCACTCATGTCCACTCTTTATAACAAATAGGAGGGAAAAACAGTCCCTCCTGGGACAGCAGATACAGCCTCTTTAAAGAGGATAAACAAATTGCAGTAAACATAAAAGGAGAATAGACTTTTTTTTGGAAGAGGGGATACTTTGCTTAAATGGGGAAACTTAAGAGAGATAAAGAGCAGTGAGACAGGATGGAAAAGAAAAGGAAAATGGAGGAGGGGCAACAGTAACGATAATATATGGACGGGGGCTTGCTAGTGGAATGACAAATGGGTCTCAAGTGACGGAGTATTATATTAAAAAGTAAATTGATATGCAAATGTGGAGTGTGTGGCTTTTGGAGGACAGGGGTAGCCTGTTGTCCTCTCTGAAGTAGAACAGAGGCAGAGAGAAAGGTGAGAGCTGGGATTCTGATAGCGATACAGCGGTCCAATAATGTGTGTGTTTTTGTCTCATCGGTGCAAGAGTGTGTGCTTTACATCAGGGTCGGATGTATAGCATGTGTGGTGGGGGGAGGAGGAGTGCTACTTTATGTGAAGCTGGGTGATGACTAAGTTTGGCGATAATTTCTCCCCCCGTCGATGGTGGTGTTCATACCACGCAACAGGTGAAAGCTGGGTAGAAATGGAGGAAATTCAAGAGTGTATGTATGCCGACACAGAAATAACTCTTCTGAATGGTGGATTTTGGAAGCAGTTGTGGATTACTTCACCGATTAATCCCCACAATTAACAATTAATTGTGGGTAATTACAACAAATGCTTAATGTTTATTAAGATATCCATTAAGAAAAAGTTCAAATTCTCAAGAAAAAATGAATCTTCGACGTGTAACGCCTTGTGACCAGTTATGTGGTCAAAGCTCGACTGGTAAGCGTAGCTAAATATTTAGCAGCTCAAAGGGTAATGTTAGCGGCAGTGAAAAAAAAATAAAAAAATACCTCGTGTGACACACAATCAGTACAACACTTTAACATGATTGTACCAACTTCCTCTTATATATAATTCTGTGGAAGAGGTTCAGTGAAGTTTGATCATGTTGTTATAGCATAAAGTTCAAACTGGCAGTCGATGACGTTTGAGTCCTTCTCTGATCTAACCAACTGCTTGTTCTGTTTTCTACATTTCACAAACATATACTGAACCTGTTTCTGACAAAACAGGACTGTGCAATTGAAATAAAAAGTTTTTACTTCAGGCACATTTCAATAGCTGGGTGAAATCTGCTTTAATAGCCCATCATGAGGCTTTATGTGTACTGTAAGACGACACTGAGTTAAAGACTCGTATGCCAAAGTCAAAAACATCAACGCAAGTTAACAAAGTTATTTTTAGCTAGCTTAAGGTACTAAATAAGCTAAATACAATTAATAAGGCTAATAATTAAACTCATTGAACTGATTTTTAGTAAGTCGCGTAACTTAAATGTAAATTTGAACGGGCTTAAAAGAGTAGAACACAGTTTTAATTTTGATGTTCTGAAACTTGCTGTAACCTTGTGCACAAGTAAGGAATAGAAATAGGAAAATAAGTACGTATATTGGCGGAAAACGATCGCCGCATTGTCCTCCTGAGTCCAATTCTACTGCGTTTAACAGATGAACCGAAGGTCAGCTGCATTCAGTTAAAAGTATTAAATAGCTGTTTGGAGCGTATACACCCAGACGCAGCTGTCGAGGGAAACAAAAAAGCATGTCCGTGTCAGATTTTGCACCATGTTTAAGACTGCTGCGTTAATGAGTCATGACACTTCTAACTGGAGAGGAGGAATGAGCTGCTCTCTAATTACTATGGAAATGTGTTCATTTCCCATCAGACACACATATACATATGCAGCCATGCACTCAGTGAGTCACGCACACACATTAACACACCCAGCAGTGGCGGAGGGTAGAGGTGGGGAGCTGTTTCCGACAGGTTTTGCAGAACATGTGCATGCATACGAGTGTGTGTGTGCATGCGTGCGTGCGTGCGTGCGTGTGTGTGTGTGTGTCTTTGTGTACGACTTTGCCTCCCTTGGGGGTTCTCACAGTCGGAGCAGAGGTGTCACCCATGTCCCCATTCCCCATATGTTTTAACACACATGGCCCAGAGCACTGAGTATATGAGAGTGGAAGTCAAGGGGGTAATGATAGTCCCTTAGTGTTTGGCTAGCTTGATCTCAGCTGATAACCAGGTGGGGCCAAATGAGCCCTTCTTAAGAACATTATCCCCCCCCCGCCTCTTTATCCTCAGACACCAACCAGCAGTCTCCACCATTATGCACATGTGCCTGCATGTGTGTGTGTATTCCCAATGCAGCTTATTGATGTTAGGGCTACAGCAGGCCTTCAGCTGTGTAAAGTCAACAGAAGAACTAAACACCAAATGAGTGAGTGCTGCTGAGCATAGTAAGACCCCAGATTTTCCTCGTTTCTGCTCCGCCATCTCGTTCTCAGTCAGAGCAGGCTCCTCCATCTCCTCCGTTTTTCTTCTGTCCATCTTCATCTCATTTCTCCGCTCTTTTTCCTTATCAAATCTTTGCTCTCTGTCTCGTTCAGTCTCGGTTTTCGCTTCTGTCCTTCTCTCTGCTGATTTCTTAAATCACATACTGTGTGTACCGTAGATTCCCAGTTACCCCTGGTCCTGAGCCCAATTCAATTTATCTTCTCGAAGGACGGGTATACTGACTAGATGCTTTGCTCCCGGTACCAGGAGACCTGCAACCTTAAACTGGCTGTCTGCGGATTCGTAAAACAAAATTACCTTTTAGAAATAAAGAATAAACCACCAAGTAAGCACTAGTGGCAAACAAGCGTCTTTTACTTCTACTCACTTTATTTAAATAGTGACAATTCAAAAAACACGTCATCTCAAAAGAAGTCTATTCAATCCAGTCATGGAGATTCAAAGTCCAGTAAATACTTTTCAAACGGATTCTGCTTATAAAACAATACATTTAAGTTTAGCTTACCATTCACATTGGCTAAAGAGTTTTCTATCCAAGGAAAACCAACAGATTGCATTGAGTCAATGACTTGTAGCAATAACTCCTCCTGGATCATATAGCGATAGTAGACAATTGTTTGTGTTTCCGTTGACTTGAGTGCAACTTGAGTCATTATCCTTCTTGTCTCGTTGCTCTTTTGTCATATTGTTAGTTTAAACTGTTTTCTGTTCCCTAAATAAAAAGGACGAGACAAGCAGCAGTAAGCTAGTGCATGTTTTACATTCATGCTTTCTTAAGAATTTAAAGCAGATCCCTAAATCTTAGAGGTTTCTTGTTGTTATTTCACTAGCTGATTATGCGTCTTAGCAGTGTTTGACACAGAAGCTGCAAAAAAGCAGAGATAAAAAAAAAAAAACAGACATACACACAAACACACATCCTGGCAATGGTCTGCGGAGCAGAATAAGTTAAACACATCATCACAGCTGCACTGCAGGATTTAGTTGATCAATTTGTCAGTATTTCTGTATTGATCTTTTGATTGACCCATGCCCAAAGGCGTGCACGAGTGTGCAGTAGCAGGTGAGCAGCACACACTAGTGGGTCTGTGTTTGATGATCGTGGTTAGACTGGTAAAACAAAATTTGTTTGTTTTTTTTTGTTTTTTTAATACACAAATTTGTGGCACAAACATTCTTTCTCTTTAACATCACGAGTGCATCACGAGGTCAGGGAAAGGTAAAACGAATGATTCAAGGAATTTTTTCTTCTTTAAATAAACAGTCATAAAAAGTCCTTTTTTTTTCATTTTAAACCAAAACAGCTAAACACAAATAGTTTGAAGCTTTTTATTAACCTATTCACACTGAAAGTATCGCATAGAAAGAGAAAACCAGCACCAAAAAAAATGTAATCCAGAATACGTATCTGTCAGTCAGCTTCCACTTTAACCATTACCTTACCATCCTTTGAAAAAAAAATTTTTTCTAGCTTTTAGCTCATTACAGGGTATTCTTTGATTTAGCTGCAACATGACCTGAACTGAAACCCAACTCAAATTGGCGTCAATCACAAATTACCTTCCTCTCTTGAAGTCTTATTTCAGTTTTAAAAACTGAATAGAACAAAGACGTATGTATGTACAACCTGAAAATACTGATGTAGAAAAAATATTTGTAGATTCAGGAAGCGTGATTCGTTAGTGTTTTTGATCTATAGTTTGGGTAAGAGCCGCATCACGCAATGCTACAACATATAAAACATGATGTAGTATTGCATCATGTGCAAACATCTAAGTGGATTTTCAGTCTTCTCAAACTGCTTTTGGCTGGAGAACTGAAATTACCCTCTAGGCTGAAAACGCAACCATGCATTTCTGTTTCAGACACTGTGGATACATAAAGGCCAAGCAGGACCCCGACGAAGAAAAGATGCAATTCCAACATGGCCGAGGTAAAGACACAAATGCGTTCGCGCTCTCATGAATAAATGAAGGAACGGTTTCTTGGTGACATTCATCTTAAAACCAGACTTTACACCCACTTGAGATGAATCAGTTCCGTGCTGCATGTGGAGCTTAGAAGCATCTGACTGAGGGAGGAAAAGCTTGATGTGACGACGCTGCGCAGAACAACTTGACTCTGTTTGTTTACAAGAGCACTACTTTTTTTTTTTTTTTGTAGCTGATCATAATTGAGTTACAGAACGAGGCCCCGGATCTCTGAGTGCGCAGACTTCGCAGCTCAATCAAAGTCATTGTTTTTCACAGAATCTTATATAAATGTCTTCTGGCAGAGTGCTGCTCCATATGGGCTCCTATTAAAATTATGACTCATTTTAGCACCATTGCTGATGAATTGTCTAATTGTGTTATTATGTGTTACATCATATGGAGAGCGTCAAAAATAAAGCTCCAGTTTCAACAAAGTGGGGCGACCTTGTTTGAAAAACGCAGGATTCGTGATTTGCAGCAGCAAAAAGCTTTTTTCCCTACGTGTGTAACATCGATCAGAAGTTTTATAAACTGTACTACGGATGATTTTTATCTGGGAAGTAAGTAATGTCTATGTTTTTCTCTCTTTTTCCTCCAATGCAGTGAAGCTTCCAGGCAGCAGAACGTACATCCATCCTCACACCTACGAAGACCCAAACCAAGCTGTCCGAGACTTTGCCAAAGAGATAGATGCTTCCAACATTCGCATAGAAAGAGTCATTGGAGCTGGTGAGTTGGCGCCGAAGCATTGAAGAATTTCTCAGAAATCTGTTCAACATTACCATCAATATGTGCATGCTTTTTTACTTTGTGAGCACATGCAGTCCCTCTCAGAACTGTTCACTGCCCAGACCTAAATTCAACTGAGAATCTGCTCCCGGATATTAGAGTTACTGCACACAGACGCTTTCTATCTAATCTGAGTGGATTTGAGTTGCTTTACAAACTAAAAATGGTCAACAATTTCACACTTTACATGCGCAAAACAAGTTTGGGCATACTCTAATAGATTTTGATACCAGTTTACTTAGCAGTTTAATAAGCATTGTGTCTTGTAGAGTATTTTTAAAACCGTTGCCTATTTTACCTCTACAATTAGGCATTACTATGTGTAGTATTTTATTTATTTATTTGCCTGAAATGTCAATAAACAAATGTTTGTGGTTGTTATAGGACACCCCCAAACTAAAATGTCCTTTCATAAGCAAACATTTAAGGACTTTGTGTATATGTACAATGTTAAACGATTCATTCTGAGATTTGATCTTTCTTTTGTGTGTTTGTGCAGGAGAGTTTGGGGAGGTGTGCAGCGGCCGCCTGCGTGTTCAGGGGAAGAGGGAGATCTACGTGGCCATCAAGAGCCTGAAGGCCGGATACTCTGACAAACAGAGGAGGGACTTCCTGTCCGAGGCGTCCATCATGGGACAGTTTGACCATCCGAACATCATCAGGCTGGAGGGTGTCGTCACGAAATGTGAGTGGACACGTTAAAAAAAAAAAAAAAGAAAGAAAAATCCCTGTTTCTTCATTATGCTTTTTTTTTTTTTTTGTAACCAGATTTTGGTTGAATCATGCAAAGCGTTCAATTAATTCCTCTCCGTACGAGTGGGTGTGGGTGTCTGTCTGTCACATACCTGTTTGAAACACAGTAGATGTGTCATCGATGTGAATAAGAGCTGACCCTGGAATCAGATAAAAGCCCCATTACCATGGCAACACAGCGGTGACGCATGGCACGGCAGCGTGCACGTGATGTAACTGTCCACCACTCAAATGGCCACTTGCTTACTTCACATGATTGTGTTTGAGCAATTAGAGTGAGCGTGTGTGTTGCTGATGCAGGTGAGACAGACGCAGGCCTGGTTCAACAAGATAGCCTGATTTGTTATCGCTGCTCTCTCCAGCCATCCTGCTTTCATGCCGCTATCTCGGACTCCTGCTTTCTCTCCCCAGTCAGAGTCCATCTAATCGTCTCATTTGGTCTCTCGTTTTCTCTCTCTGTGTCTCTTTCCGTCTATTTTTTTCCCCCATTTTCACTTTATCGTTCTGTTTCTTCTGCATTCTCAAATCTAGACATGCTAAGTTGGCAACATATGAAATGTACTTGTCCTGTTTTGCATAATACTCAATATTGGTTCTACAACTCGCCCAGTTACAAGAAAACACTAAAAATATGGTTTTATAAATTGGTATTCCTGCCAACTGAAATCAGAAACAGCAGAAATCCAAGTTTCGTTTGATTCTTAGCAAGAAAAAAGCAGCAAATAATGATAGATCTGAAATTATAGCCGTCATTTTGTGGCTCCCATTACACCCACCTCACATGATAGCCTTTGCAAAAAGCAAGCATGGGAGTTAAAATGAGAAACGTATTGGGTAGTAAATCTAAAAAGACAGCACCACTCTGTGTTCAGGGCTGGAATGTAACAAAGAACATTTCCTGAAGTACAACTTTAAAGGACCAGAGTTTAAAAAATCCCGCTATATAATTTTATTTTTCTTCCCCACTTCAAACCACAGAATCATTCTTTCCATTCTCTACGAAGCCTTTGAACACACAGCTTCAATTACTACTTATTTTTACGACAAATGCTTTTGGAGAGCTTTTTAAAACCGTAAAAAAGTCAAAGAAAGTTTCCACATTTTGACTGACATCACTAGCTTGTGCTAATTTTAGTTCCAGTGATGAAACATACAGCACCCTCCACACTTTCCTGCACCTGTAACCACCGGCAACGGCCTGTAATGCAAAACCAGGCAATATTGCAATCAGATTTTTCCATCATTCGTAAATAATACATTAACAATGAAATAAAAACATGTTGTATTTAAATATTACACAAATGTAATAATGATTTATTATATTCGTGTAATATTTAAAAGTAAAACATTAAAATAACTTCCAAAACAAATTCCATTTTGCTAATAAAAAAAATGTGTATTTAATCGCGTAAGATTGCTAAAGGAATGCTGAATGTGAATAACATTTAACTTTAAAAAATACTTTATTTTGCAAGAAGGATTGTTTTGTAAAAACAGTACAACAACTGCACTATGAAAAGCTGCCAACAAATGTACCTATCTGCCTCCAGTGATTTAGCAAGATGTTAAGGAGTGTTATATATCTTTACTTTATTATGATGCAGTTCTCCCTTAAAACATCCCAAAACTACGCAGAAAGAAGTACCACTTGTGTGCGCACATTCGGTCTCTTTAGATTAACGATCTAAAGCACTGTACATTCTCTGTATCCCTGTGCTCTTCCTGTTACTCGGTGTGCGCTGCTCCATCATTCTTCTGATCTGACACCTTGTTATGCAGATGTTTGCGAGAGGATCTAGACGCAAACAAAGAAAGCGGGATGGAGAGAGGCGGTACAAAGAAGCAGGATTTTTGAACACACAGGCAGACAAATGAAGATCCGCTTTTGCCCCCCACCGCCCC